GCCAAATAATCCTTTTAGCTCTCTCTGTGCTCCTGTAAAAGTGTGTGTTGCTTCTGCTTGCTTGTTGGCAAAGGACGTACCTATCTTAAGTCATGGTAAGAACCATATTGATGAATGCACACAGGACCATTGGTACCAGGTGTGGGAGGCAGAGAGATGCTGAGGAAAAAGATGGCTCTCTGGAACAGCAACTCTACCCACTAACTACTAACTACTCTTTCTTTCTTTCTTTCTTTCTTTCTTTCTTTCTTTCTTTCTTTCTTTCTTTCTTTCTCTCTTTCTTTTTATCTTTCTTTCTCTCTCTCTCTTTCTTTCTTTCATTTTAATCAAAGTATAGTTGACATACAATATTATATTAGTGTTAGGTGTACAACAAAGTCATTTGACTTTTATATATATTATGAAGGAATCACCATGATAAGTTTAGTATGCACCTGTCACTGTACAAAATCATTGCAATATTATTGACTATATTCCCTATGTTGTGAATTATTTATTTTATAACAGGAAGTTTGTACCTCTTAATCCCTTTCATCTTTTCATCCATCCCCTCATCCTCTGGTAACCATTAATTTGTTCTCTGTCTCTATGAATCTGTTTCTGTTTTGTTTAGTTTAGATTTCACAGATTTCATTATTTTTCATGGCAAAATAATATATACATACATATATATCTCACATCTTCTTTATCCATTCATCTATTGATAGACACCTAGGTTGCTCCCCTATTTTGGCTATTATAAATAATGTTTCAATGAACATAGGGGTTCATATATCTTTTTGAATTAGTGTTTTTGTTTTCTTTGGATAAATACCCAGAAGTAGAACTGCTGGATCATTTGATAATTCTAATTTTAATTTTTTGAGGAGCCTGTATACTGTTTTCTGTAGTGGCTGCACCAATTTACAATCCCACCAGCAGTGTACAAGGGCTCCCTTTTTGCCACATCTTTGCCAACACGTGCTGTTTGTTATTTTTTGATGACAGCCATTTTGACAGATGTGAGGTTCCTCTTCTTTCTAGTGCAGTCTTATAGTTACCTCCTGCTGTTTTTTCCCTGTGCACCTACATTGCTCTCTTCTAGCTCTAGTTTCTAGTTTAGCCTGTCCTCTGTGCGTTTCCGTCCAAATTTAGGGGAAAAAAACCTTTCTAATTTTTTTAACAGTCCAATAACTTACAGCGTCTGCACTTCGTTTTCTACCTGGAATCAAACTGTGACCTCCTGGTTCATAGGTCGTTGCTTAACCATTGAGCCACACCAACCGGACAGCGTCTGCACTTCTATTCTCAAGTTGTCTGTTTGCAGTCCCACAACCCACTTGTGACCATTCTGTTTTCAAAGAAGTTTGATATTGCAACTTCAATACCAAACATGACAACGATATTGCATGCAAGGAAAACTATGTGCCAATCTTGCTAGAAAAATGAGGCAAAGATTTTAAACAAAATATTAGCTAATTAATATGGTCATATGTGAAAATGGTGATACATCATTAACAAGTGGGGAGTTATTTCAAAAATGTAGAGTTGGTTTAACAATCAAAAGTAAGTCAAGGGGCTAGTCTCTATTAATAGGTAAAGGGAAAAATCATATGATCATTTCCATATCAGTAGTAAAATATGTGAAAAATCACTTAATCATTTAATAGATTAACCAGTTAATCTGTATCTACACTAATAAAAGACAATATGCAAAATGACTGTACCTTCATGACGCCCACCAGCCAATCAGGAGTGAGTATGCAAATTAACCTAACAGGTGCCAAGTGGCCAAGGGTGGGGTGGGACACTTGCGTCGTCACCATGGTAATGACACAGGTGTTCCGCACCGCCCCAGCCACTCCGGGCCTCTGGGCAGTGTGGGAAGGTGGAAAGGTGGCTCTGGCTGGAGTGAAGGCGGTGCCAGCAGCCAGGTGAAAGAAGGCCCATTCTTGCACAAATCTTTGTGCATTGGGCCTCTAGTATATAAATATAAAAGGCTAATATGCTACGTGTCCCTCCAACTAGTTGCTCTGGTGTGCACTGACTACCAGAGGGCAGACGCTCAACACAGGAACTTCAGTGAGGTGCCCTGGCCATTTAAAGAGAAATGGTGCTGCAGAACTGGTGCCCACAAAGCAACACTTGGCTTCCCCCAAGTGGACATAGGCCCCGCCACCACCCCAGAGCGACAGCTCAACAAATCGCAGCCGATGCTGCTGAGACCCCATGACGCAAAATGCTGCCCACAGCCCAGCCCAGCCTGGAAATGGTGGCTGTGGGCACCGGGTAAGGACATCACGTAGAATGCCTGGCTTCCTCTCCCTAGCAACTAGCCTCCTTGCACTTTTTCAGCCCAGGAACACAACTTGCTTTATAGCCAGGTACAAACATTTTACACTGTAACCAAATATCTATGAAGTGTTTTCCCATGCCTCATCTCATTTGATCCTCACAAAAGTCTTGGAGTAGGTAGATAGGAGACTTGGTGGACTCCTATTTTCTTTTCATTAGCTGGAAAACGGAGATTTAGAAAGCTTAGAAACTTGACCTGACTGAAAAGAAGTAAGAAACGGTGGGCCTTTAAAATGACTTCAGGTTTTCTCACTGCACAGAATATAGTCAAACAATGCTGCAGTTAAATATTTTGCCCTTTGTTCTCCCTGTGTGATCTACAATAATAATTTGCTTTGTGTTGATATTTACTGCTGTGTTGCTGACAATTACCTGAAAGAGCAGTTGGGGTGCTTCACTGGGCTGGAAAAAGTTTAGCTAAATCAGAAAGCAGGTCTAATTAAGTAAGTTTATTCTATATCTATAACAGGCTAAGTTGACTCGCACATTCGTGATACATATAAAGCTCTCCCTGAAGCCAATCTCAGGTGTGTGTTTGATCTGTCATTGTCGATCATGAATTTGGTTGACACTTCTATTATAGAGAAATGGCGAATAGAGATACTAAAATATTTCTTCTAATTAATTTCCTTTCAATGTGCATGAATTTGTGCACCAGGCCACTAGTCTACTAATGATAGAAGAATATAATGATACAGGATTAGAAGTTCACTTTAATGTGATAGCAGGCCTCCATAAAAAACCCTACTACAGAGGTAAGCATTTTCAGAAAGCAGTTAGAACACTAACAAATATTGTCAAAATCAACCTTTTCAGAAGTTTAGAACTTAACCAAAGGCTTGTAACAATCCATGGAGTGTTTATTTAATTAAAAAAAAGGTGGAAAAAAAACACACACCAAGAAAAACAGGCGAATATCAGAAGAAGAGAAAGCTTGATTCACCCTATTCCCATCCCTTTTCTTCCTAGCTTTGTGGAAGCCAGCAGACTTGCACTATAGCCCATGAAAACCAGCAGCACAGCCACCACTGAAGGGGAGAATGGCTTTTACGCTACTCCAAAGCTCCATCTCCAGAAAATTGTCAGTATTTGACCTCTCTGGTAGCTTCATGAAAAGCTCCATTCTCAGGGCATGTATTTATCTCACCCAACTCAGAACTTGCTCTTTGTGGGTCAATTTTTTGACATCACAGCAAATTCAGACAGTGAGACCAATTGGAGCTAATAAGAAGCTGACTATATATATATATAGAGAGAGAGAGGGAGAGAGAGAGAGATATCTATATATATATATATATATATAAATACATCTATATATAGATATATCTAGAGAGATCTATATATATAGATCTATAGATAGATATAGATATAGATATAGATATAGATATAGATATAGATAGCTCTGGATGGTGCAGCTCAGTTGGTTGGAGCATCATCCCATACACCAAAAGGTCATGGGTTTGATTCCCAGTCAGGGAACATACCCAGGTTGTGGGTTTGATTCCCAATTGGGGTGGGTATGGAAGACAACCAATCAATGTCTCTCTCTCTCTCTCTCTCTCTCTCTCTCTCTCTTCAATTTAAAAAAAGTTTGGCATGTCACATTAAAAAAAACATAAAAGGAAAAAGGGGGCAATTAGATATCTAGGAGGTTTTGAAAATCTTTCCTATTCATGGGAATCCAGTAGGCTACACGTGTACAAAATGATGTTTATTGAATCCATTTTGGAAACAGACAGCATGAGAGGTTTGGGGGTTAAGAGCTCACTCAGAGTCTAGAGCAGTGATGGCGAACCTTCTGAGCTCGGCCTGTCAGCATTTTGAAAAACCCTAACTTAACTCTGGTGCCATGTCACATATAGAAATTTTTTGATATTTGCAGCCATAGTAAAAAAAGACTTATGTTTTTGATATTTATTTTATATATTTAAATGCCATTTAACAAAGAAAAATCAACCAAAAAAATGAGTTCGAGTGTCACCTCTGACACACGTGTCATAGGTTCGCCATCACTGGTCTAGAGTGATCACTTTCTGTCCTTAAACCTCAGCCACAGAAAGATCCTAGTTCAAACAATGAAAATGAATCTTCATGTCATGAAGGGGAGAAACAGTGGTTAAAACGTGGCAGCTACCACTCCTGCACCAGCTCTGATGGCTAGAATGCCTGTGAACATCAATAAAATTTCTATAGGTACAGTCTGAAATATTTACTGTACAAACATCCGGTGTGTACATAAAAGGGGAAGTTGTAAACTGGCTAACAGTCATCAGCAAAATCAAGTTCACTGGATCTGGACTGACACCCCCCTTCTCAATGTAGGAGCTCAGGTTAACTGATAACTGCTATCCGCATTAAGGCCACTTACTTTATGGAAAAGTTATTTAAAAACATATGTATTGTTAAAGTTGTAAACGAAAAAAAGATAAAGCCAAGCATGATTAATTACTTTGCCTGGATCAGTAAATACCAGTGGCAAGTGCTCAGTGAACTAAAAGACTGAAGCCATTAGTTAAAAAAAATCATCGTGTTGTTACCTACTGACGTCCCATCTGCTAATGCATGTTCGTCAATTTGTGGACTTCATCCAATACACACACCAAGATTTTTGTTTTGTTTGTTTGAAATTCTCAGATCTCCTTTGGACACTTCCCTTCTATCACTCTCGTAGAAGAATGGACAGGAAACAACTTGTTAAACACAGTTTCCAAATTACAAGCCATCGAAAGCACAACTCTGGTCATATTTGAGATCTTCCCCCAGAAGGGAAATGCTGCCAGGATTTAGAGGAGCAGAAAGATTATTGACAGGACACCAAAATGATGCAGAACACTTGGCCTTTTATGGAGTGTCCATTTACCGTTTAATTGTTCTTATCTTCTCCCCAAATTGCATTATCTTTGATTCTCCACTTTGGTTCAAATCATTCTATTATCCTGGAATTCTTGCTATGTACTTGATTTCTGGTTCAGGTAAAATGAATAGATCAACAAGCCTTTTTTTTTTTTTTAAGGCTACTAGTCCTCCTGACTTAGTCAACATCCTATAGAAAGAGAACAAGAGCCCTGGCTGGCTTGGCTCAGTGGATAGAGCGTCAGCCTGAGGACTGAAGGGTTCCAGGTTTGATGCCTAGTGTGAACTTTGATGACACCCGTAGAAATCGGTTTCCCCATCTGCAAGATGAAGAGGAAGCATATCAATGATTCTCTCTCATCATTGATGTTTCTATCTCTCTCTCCCTTTCCCTTCCTCTCTGAAATCAATAAAGAAATAAATTTTTTTTAAAAAGAAAGAGAACAAGCATATTAGGACAGGTAGTTCCCGGCCTCAGGTCTGCCCTTGATGCCTAGTGTGAACTTTGATGACACCCGTAGAAATTGGTTTCCCCATCTGCAAGATGAAGATCTGGATTATGTCAGCGGGGACTTTCAATTCCAAATTCAGTGGAAGATTGTGGCTCAGGCCCCTGGGACAACCTGAGAAACAAGTGGTCTGAGCATGACCCTTGTCACGCTGGAGTCCTGGGGGCAGACACACATGGCTGGCTAGAACAGAGTCTCCTCATCTGAGGAGGATCTGGACAAGGAGAGCCTCAGAAGTGGCCAAAGAATGTCCAGTCATTATCAGTGACCCTGGCTGCTCACCCCTCGGTGCACACAGAACAGAGCCTGCAGGTGTAACACCAGGGTTACAGCTCAGCAGAAACTCCTCTGCTGGAGAACGCAGTGTCTCTGGGAGGAGCTTGGTAGCTGCTGAGCTGCTCCCAAATAGCCAGGGACTTTAAGGCTGTGGTGCTCATCCTGGGCACTTCAGCTAGCAGCTGCGGTCCTTTCACTAATATCATGCAGCTCAGACCTTAACTTCCCCGTCATTCTTGCTCTCTCCCCTTCACTTCATGCAGAGTTGAAAAAGCCTTTTATGAGGCATTAGGGGGGTTAGTGAATATCGGCCTTACTAGCTCCTATTTCCTTCCTTTTTATCATCGGTTAAACTCGAGGCCAGAAGCTGGGGCGAGAAGCCAGAAGCTGGGGCGAGAAGACGAAATGGAGGGAAGGTCAGAGCAGCTGCCCCAGTGCTCACAGTTGGCATGAGATTGGTTTAGACAACTTTCATTTCATTTTTTAAAAATATATTTTTAAAATTGATTTTGAGAGAGGAAGAGAGAGAGAGAGAGAGAGAGAGAGAGAGAGAGAGAGAGATTGATTGGTTGTTGTTTCCCATATGCACCCTGATTGGGTATCAAACCCACAACCTGGTATGTTAGTATGTGCCCTGACTGGGAATCAAACCAGGACCTTTCAGCGCATGGGGCAACATCCAACCAACTGAGCCACACCGGCCAGGGCCAACCTTCATTTCTTGACTGCTATGTATATAAACGCTGTTCCTACAATTAGAGCATATTCACCAGCTCAGTCTCAGGAGTGGGAAGCTGAGCCCATGTCCCCCATGGGAGCTGGAAGGTCCAGGTGCCTGCTCTCCCTGCCTCCTCTGCAGCCACCCCATGTGCACATGTACTGGTTCAGACAGCACATGCATAGGCTCCGTCACAGATGTGAGGACTAGTGATGGTAAAAAGCAGACACAGAGGAAGGATGGACTTTAATCCAGCATCCAATGGCTGCAGCATCTCACTTCCAGGAAGAGGCATGGAAGTGATGTCGAAGCCTTTGGCAATGCTGGCTGGACAGGATGCGACATCAATTGAAGTGCCCAGAAGCAGCAATGGTATGCTCTACTGTGACTCAAGAGTAAAAGATTATGGGAGCTTCCAGGAGCACAGGTATTGTGGATGAATTTGTGTCTCCATAAAAATCCCAAGCTGCAGAAAGGGAAGGCATAGTACCATCTAGTGCAGGGGCGGGCAAACTTTTTGACTCGAGGGCCACAATGGGTTCTTAAACTGGACCGGAGGGCCGGAACAAAAGCATGGATGGAGTGTTTGTGTGAACTAATACAAATTCAAAGTAAACATCATTACGTAAAAGGGTACGGTCTTTTTTTTTTTTTTTAGTTTTATTCATTTCAAATGGGCCGGATCCGGCCCGCAGGGCGTAGTTTGCCCACGGCTGGTCTAGTGTGAAAGGCTGTGATTGAAATAGAGGCAGAAAGATAATTCAGGTTCATCAAAAGTGACCTTGTGAAATAAATTCTTCCTGATGGAGTAACTGGCAGAAGGTAAGTCTTGCTGTCTAGCTTGTTATGAGAAGGCACTTTCCTAGGGACATTTCCATGGTGACTGGGGAGTCTTTCAGAGGTGGCAAAGCTGGGCTAGAACTCAGGTCACTGACTCCCAAGCCTGTACTTTTCCCACTCCACCCAAAATTCTCCTCTTCCTCCTGTGGCTTTGGCCTCCTGAGAGCTTCCTTGTCCAAGGGCAGTGGGGCCAACAACAGAGCCCCGAGGTCATTCAAGTTTGCCCAACAAATACTCCCCATTCTCGTCACTACTTGGATCTGCCCTGCCCCCAACTTTATATCTCCAGAGAACACTATTCAACATTCCTACTAGAGGATTAAGGACTTGGAGTGTCTTGTCTCCTCATTCACATCCTAAAATCTAAAGTTGGGAGAGGATATTGCTTAATCCAAAGGGATTGTGTGCTAATGGAGGCATCTTGAGCATGAACAAGTGAAATGTCCAGATTTCCATTTCCTGATGATATGGAGAATATAGTTCTTGGGTTGTTTATTGGATTTCTAATATTAATCCCTAGGAGTGGGGTCTCTTTCTCCTGCCCCTGCTCTCCTTCACACCAGGAACAGCTCCCATAGAGCCCTCTCGCCCCCACCCTCACTGTGGAGAGGGAATCCCAACTCCACACCCACCTCCAGGAGCTTCCAGGAGCATAGAAGTCATAGGAACCAAACAAATGGAGTAGAAAGCAGTCTTTTATTAGGAAATCACTGAGAGAAGCAGCCCAGGTTTAGGCAACCTCGATGAGAGGAAGAATGAGCCATGTGAGAAAGGCATTCAAATGCTGTAGGGACCAGGGACTGCAGTCCTGGGTCTTCACTGGTGCAACAAGAGCAGGCTCCACCTGGTAGGAGAGAGGAGAACCAGAGCTATGAGTCAGCAGGTCAAAGCACTCAGAGGCAGTGAGAGATAGGGTCAAGTCCACATGTCACTCCTGTAAGAAGCCCAGTTACAGCCTCTGAGACCCCTCAGTTTCCCCATCACCTTCCAGTATCCTCCCTCTCAAGAACCAAGGATCATTTCCCACCGCTCAGCTTTCTCTGTGCCCCTGGGAGTTACCTCTTCCTCCATTCAGTTCTTGGGCATCATACAGACTCTTCCACAATAGCCCATACAGCACTTCTTGTTCCCGGCACATTGAGAATCCATCATACATTTGTTAGGGGGATTCATCATGGCGCACTTCATCTGAATCCTGGGGCAGGAGCCAGGCTTTGGTGGAACTTTGACTGGACCATGCCCCATGCCTGGACGTGTAACTTGTCCTTTGTCCAGAACTTGGTAAGCTTCTTGAAAGAAGAAACGTACCCATAGTTAGACACCATCTCCCTCTTTCAACTATCTTGTCTTTCTTCTTGGTCCAGTCACTGCTCACTCCAGTGTCCCCCAAATTATGACCTGAGGCGGAGGAGGATCACCAAGGCTAACTCGGGTTTGTGCTCTCGGAAGGCTATTCCCTGAGCTTTGGGGAAGGGTCTACAGGACCACAGTTTGCCATCCCTCCATTCCAAGTCCGGTGCTCAGGAGGCGATGCCAGACTGGAGTGACTCCAAGAAGTGAGAAGGATACATTGTCACTTCTGAGGGGAGAAGAGCTCCAAGACACCGGCCAGGAGACCTGAGCTCCTCCTGGCTCTGGAGATCGCCTTGACAATTCCTCACCCTCTCTAGGTCTCAGTGTCCTCCTTAGTAAAATGGTGGTCTTCTTCAAATTACATGCTTTCTGAGGCCTTGCAGGTTCTTAACCTCCTCTCAGAGGACTGATTAGTCTCAGGTGATTTTACAGGGCAGACAGACAGGGGACAGACCCTACACCCAGGGCCCAGATTCCCGGGACTCCTCACTTCATTCTGCAGAAGTCCCAACGTCTAAGGCCAAGGCCACATAACAACACTTCTCCCACAGTCTTCCTATCTCAGTCCTGGGGTGAAAAGCTGG